TGACTCCCAAAATAGGCTGAAATTTGCCAATCTTCCATTTGGAGAAGCAAAGGAGGGTCTACTTCTAAGAAACCTATACCGTACTTTTAAACCTCGTAGACCCTACTTTCATACTCCTAGACCCTACAATTAGAAAAAGAAAAATTTGAAGATTTGCTCAGATTCAATTGAAGCACTAGGGATGAGTAAAAGTGGAATTTTATGTGTTTTATAGCGTCTATATACACGAAGTGTATATAGACGCTATAAAACACATCAGTATTTATGAATTTGGAGTACTTTTTGCATTTGCAGTGTTTCAAGTAATGCATTAAAAAATAATTCTAAATTTTCTTTTAGAATGTAGGGTCTAGGAGTATGAAAGTAGGGTCTACGAGGTTTAAAAGTACGGTATAGGTTTCTTAGAAGTAGACCCTCCTTTGCTTCTCCAAATGGAAGATTGGCAAATTTCCGCCTATTTTGGGAGTCAAAGTAGGGTCTAATTGTATTAGAATTAGACCCTACTTTACTACTCCTATCACTCAATAGACCCTGAAAATTCAGGGTGAAAGTAGGGCTTAAATTTCGACTCGGGAGGGAATTAAATGGAGTGATATGATCAAGTTTTATCTCCATGTATAAAGCTGCAATTTCAGTAAGTATATATATGTATACTGTATGTGAAGGACCAACAATGAATGCCCAAGGGATGACGAAAACTTAACAAACTTTTCTATAAGTTTCAAAACCAGGAAAGTCAGAGAGCAATTTTCAACGTTTGTGGGTGAAAATGCGCACAAGAGAAAACTTTACTATCTTTTCCGCGACTTTTTTCACAATTCAAGTTACAACACAAAGAATGGAATGACGTTTGAAAAAAAAATCTCACAATGATTCTCAACATTGTCACTTGAAAATTGCTCCAAACTTTATTTCTCTATATTACCCGTTTTATTAAACTTTACAAATGACAATAAAAATTTAATACTTGGAACTTCTTTTTTACTGTATTAGAGAAAAAGAATTGTAACAAAATTTCCTTTTATACTCTAAGAAGAAGAAGAAGAAGAAGAAGAAGAAGAAGAAGAAGAAGAAGAAGAAGAAGAAGAAGAAGAAGAAGAAGAAGAAGAAGAAGAAGAAGAAGGAAAATTTTTCAATTTATAATTTTCATATTTTCCAAGAGTATACATGGTGAAATCTGATTTTCTTCAATATTTACCGGAGGAAATGAACAAAAGACTTTTGTTACGCACTTAAACTCGTCATCATGATGAAAACATTGTATATAGGTTTATGTATATAGATATATAAATTCCACACTGGTTATGGATAAGAAACTCAAGAGTTCAATATCGCTGTTGCTGTAGGCAGTACTGTCGACGAACAAGCATGTTGATTTATAATACCAATCTCAAAAGAAATTCTTCTCCTGGGATTACAAGCAACAATCTCATCGCGAAACAAGCGCGCCGCATATTTCTTATTATTCTCTCCGCAAGTGTTATAAAGACGAGTCAAAAATACCATCAATTTTTTTTTCTTTTAACATCAGAAAAATCTCAATATTTATATGTGCATTAGTCACAGTTGTCTTATAGTTTTCAGGGTTGCCACACGCTTTTCCTCTTTTCAAATTCCCTGACTTTTCCAGTTTAAAAAACGAAATTTTTCCAGATTTTTTAAAACGAAAATTATTCGAAAACATCAATAACTTTATTTTTAAATAAATCATTTTTTTAATAAAAATTAAGATATTCAAAAATTTGAAATAATTCATGTTTTATAATAATTAAAACTTGCTACTTTGTTATACTGTAACTTCTTTAAAAATTATTTTTATCATTACGATTATTCATTTCTAGAATTTTCAACTGAAATTCTTCTTTAAGTCAATTTTTTAAAAATAATTTGTGAACAAGTTTTTTGTTATTTTTCATCGACTCGGAGTGATCGCTTTCTTCATGTTTTATAATAATTAAAAATATGCTACTTTGTTACTGTAACTTCTTTAAAAATTATTTTTATCATTACAATTATTCATTTTTAGAATTTTCAACTAAATAAATTTCAACTTCTTTAAATTTCGATTATTCTGACATTCTTTAATTAAATATATATTAGAAATTAAAAATTTCAAATAATTAAAAAAAAATTCCATTAAACTTATTGAGAAAAATTAATTCTGTAGAATTCTTAATTAAAAGGATAATAAGTTCAAATTTTCAAAGATTTTAATTTAAAATTAATTTTCAAATCAATATTTATTAGAAAATTCCACCAGAATTCAATTATTTAACTATAAAAATAAATATTTTATTAAACAATTGAATGTTTCTTAAAATTGAATTTTGATAATGAATTTTATCAACAAATTTTCAAATAATTGAATTCTCTTGACAAATTTTAATAAAATTTTTAAGAAAAATAACTTTTTTCAAGAAATTCCATTAAAATGGTATTAAAAAGAATTAAAATTCTGCTTGGAGTTTTATTATTAATGAAAATAATTGAATCTCTGTAAAAATGTTATTATTTATGAAAATAATTTGTAAATAATTGAATTCCTATGTAATTTTTATTATTTATAAAAATAATTAAATGTTTAATAGAAAATTCTACAAGAATTCAATTATTTTGCTATAAAAATATTTTATTGAACAATTGAATGTTTATTAAAATTAAATTTTCATAAAGAATTATATTTAAAAATTTTTAAATAATTGAATTTTGACAAATTTTAATAGAATTTTTAAGAATAATTGCATTTTTCGAGAAATTTGATGAAAATTGTATTGAATATAATTGAAATTCTGCCAAGAATTTTATTGAAAGTTTGAGAAATAATTGAATCCCTGCAAAAAATGTTATTATTAATAAAAATAATTGAATAATATATGAAAATAATTTATAAATATTTGAATTCCTGTGAAATTTTTATTATTTATGAAAATAATGAAATGTTTGCGTAGAATTTTATTAAAATTTGTGTAACTAAATTGAATTCTTTTAGTAATTTTTATTAAAGTAGTAGATATTAAAAATCATTTAATTGAGGAAAGTTTATGAAAATAATTAAAATTTTGCCAAGAATTTTATTAAAATTTATGAATATAATTGGATTTCTGAGAAGAATTTTACTATTTTTGAAAATAATTGAATTTCTGCAATCATTTGTAATTGCTTCAAAATTCAATTTGTTTTAATGTTTTTAACTAAAATTGTTCTATAAATTCATTATTATTAATAATCAATTAAATATATATTAAAGAATTTAACTAATTTCATAACAATTTTAGTTATTAAGATTTTTTCAAAATCTAAGTTTTTTTATATTTCTAATTAAATTCATTTGAAATTGAAATTTTATAAAATTTTAAATTATATTCTTTTCAAGTTTATCTACTTATGAAAATTGTAAACGCAATTCTTTTAAAATTGAATTAATTTTGAAATATTTAAGTGAAATTGGATTTCAAGAATAAACACAATAACTTTAGAAAACTTTACTATAATATTCCTACTACTACATTTACTATTTGCAAAAATTTGATAAAAAAAAGTTTAACTGTTTGACTTAACATTAATCTATACTACTGGTTCTCATATTAGAATATTTGAAATGCTCTGTATGACTGAAACTGATATTTACTACTTTAAAATTAACTTTTAAGTCTGTTTAATAAGTAATAGACCTTTACTACTGAAGTTTCTTATATTTTTTAGCAATTTTTCCTTAAAAATATAATACAACTTTTTAAAATATCAATAAAAATACTAAAAGAAAGCAATAAAATTCTATGAAAAATTAATCGTAATTAATTGACCAAACATTTACCTGTACTACTGATTATAATATTAGAATATTAATAACTGACACTTATAACAAATTCGAATTCGAATTCAAAATGAATTTGGCCTTAAGGTAAATTTAAATTTGAAAAATATACTTTGTTCTGTCTGACTAAAACTGATATTTACTACTTATGATAAAAAATTATCAGTTACAACTGTCTGACCTAACATTGACCTCTACTACTAATTTTAATAACGGTTTTTCAATTAAATTCATATCTGTGACTAAAATTGATGTTTACTAGTAATGAAAAATTGTATTATTGTCCGACCTGTGTTGACTCACACTACTTACTCTGTAGTAAAATAATAAACATCAATCTGTCTGACTAAAATTGATGTTTACTACTAATAACATACTGTTAAAAATTCATAAACCGTCTGACCATAATTGACTTCCACTACTTGTTCTGCATTGAAAGAATATACTGTCTACGCTGTCTGACTAAAACCGACGTTTACTACTAGAGATTCGCAAGCATTTTCTGTTTTTTTTTTGTCTGACTAAATTGCCTTTTACAACTTGTTCCCAAAATTAGAATCCAAATCCTTCCGTCTGTTGAAAAATTGACGATTACAACGAATAAAATTACAAAATCATAAACTCTCAGTCAAACTAAAATTGACTTCTACCAGTGCTATTAATATCATAAGAATTTATATTCCTTTTATATAAATGTAATTTGTTTGTTATTGTCCAATTATTTTTCTATTTCAATTATAAAACAAAAATATAATTACAGATTTCTTGAAAGTATCAAATTACGATACTAAAGTGTATCAAATTGATACCAAAAATTTAGATCAAATTTTTTATTTGATCCACATTTTTAGTGTTAATTCGTTGCAATTTATTTCAAGTTAACAGTGAGTATTATTTAAATTAAAAAACTGTAAATTATAGTTTGAATTTAAATAATTTAAATAATTTAAATAGCTTTTAACTATTTTCCGCCTCACTTAAATTATCTTTAATATATGGTAAATTTTCTACTGTTGCATATGACAATTGTCAAATGATATAAATTATTAATGACTATATTTACTAAATGAAATGGAGCGGACTTTTGTAGGAACCGTTTGACACTGGCTAGGGAAAACCTTCTCTCTCTCTCTCAATCCCCCCCTTTCTCTCTCTCTCTCTGACGAATCATTAATCTTTGTTACAGGCAACGTTTTCGTGATAGCCGCCATTGTACTGGAACGCAATTTGCAGAGTGTAGCCAATTATTTGATTCTCTCTCTTGCCGTTGCGGATCTTCTAGTGGCTCTTTTAGTCATGCCTTTGGGTAACTATATTCACCATAAAAATCATATTCATTTCTCTCAATCATTCGCGAACTAACATTCATTTTTATTCATTAACAATACTAATTTTGCCTCATCAATATTCTAATGTAGAGTTTTCTCTTTTTTTTTTTTTTTTTTTTTTTGCGAATATCACATTTTTTTCTCTTTTTTTAGAAAAAAGAAAAATTTACTCTATTTCGAGTCAAATAGAGAATTTGTTAAATAAAGACTAAAAATTTATTTATTTCAAAAGCTTGACAAGCAAAAGAAAAATTATAAAATAAAAAAAGGTTTATATGAAAAAAGATTTATAATAAGAAAATGTAAAGATTTTAAGAAAAATTAAAGAAAATGAATAAAGGAATTATAACTAAAACAATTAAACTGTTGATAAATATAAAAATACAAGAACAAATTTTAAACGAAAAAGGTCAAGTAAAATAAAAATAAATAAAAATAAAATAAAAGTAAAAATTATATTAAAAATGAAAAATTGAAAAAAGTACGAATAAAACATTTTTTTAACAATGTTAATTACCTTATTGTTAATAAAAATAAAATTTTTATATAGAAAGAAAAGCGTTAAATATATATTATTTCATTTTAATTTGACATTTTTATATATTTGTTCAAAATTATATAAAAAAATCAAAAATTGAAAACACGTGCAAATAAAATAATTGCTATCTGTATTAATTAAATTTCTGTTGAAAAAAAATTAAAAGCAACAAGAGAATTTTGCAATAAAAATAATTACTCTCTCAAAAAACAGTTTTAACTAAAATTGATTTCAATTAAAATATAAATTAAATAGTACGAAATATGTAGAGTTAATTATTCATTTTTTAAAAATATAAATTAAATATAGTTTGAAATATGTGGAGTTAATTTTTCCTTTTTTTAAAAAAAGAGGGAAAAAATAAATGTGTTTCGTAATGCTTCTCTGGCTTTAGTGTGAAATTTTCGACAGGAGCCGTGTACGAAGTGTCTCATGAATGGGCTCTCGGACCGGAACTTTGTGACATGTGGACCAGCAGTGACGTTCTGTGCTGCACAGCCTCGATATTGCATTTGGTTGCCATCGCTCTCGATAGGTTAGTTTTTTTTCCTCCACTTTCAAAATAAACTACAAGTGTAGTTAACCTACACCACAATGAAATAGTGTTGCTTTTGAATTGAGGCGAGAACGGTTAAACTAACTCCACTTCATTTGATTTCGCAAAAAAAAAAGAAATATTTACTAACTTTGTTTTTTTTTCTTTTTCAATTAATTATCCAATTCTATCATTTACGAACTTATTAAGTTATTCTAATTATTAATCAACTAAAAAACCCAAAGGGAACCATTAAAAAAAACTTTCGAAAAATATTATTTACTTCGTTTTCTTTGTTTCATTTTTAATTAAATATTAATTTTATAATTAAATTCTTAACAAATTTATCGTTATTTTAATTATTAAAAAAATTAATTACAAAAAACAGTAGTTACTACAAAACGGAATAATTGAAAAAAACTTACCAGACAAATATAAAATTAAATTAAAAATCAAGTTATAAAAATTATTTTATAACTTTATTTTATAACTTGATTTTTAAAAGAACAATTTGCAAGGTAAACAAAAATTTTCGAAAAAAATCTTTAATGCAAATAAATTTCGACTTTATTGCACGCCTTTTTGGGATTCAATTTTATCGAAACGATAAAGCCATTTCAATTTTATAGTTATTGTATTTGGCTCAATATTTTGAAAATTTTATTACCCGGCATTTTGTTGATTCCATCAATCAGAGTTTGAGATAACGAAAAAAAAATATATTACGAGCTTTCGATGTAATCCTATTTTGTGGCATCAATACCAATAAATACGGCCGAAATGAATTCCCCCTCCCAAAAAAAAGAAATTTTTACCAATTAGTTGAAATTGTATTTTTTTTTTTTTTTTTGCAAATATTTTGCAATAAAATGGTATAAATGTACACGAGGAAAAAAAGATGTTTCCAGTGGTTTCGATATATTTCACAATTTATATATAGTTTGAATTGAGTTTGAAACTAAAAATGCAATTGGTTTGAATAGAATATGACCACTGACCGAAAGTTAGAGTTTTCGATTTCCATTCGATTCAATGAATTTCTTAAGTTTTATATTTATAATGCCACATTTGTTCCGGTAGAAATTTTAATAAATTTATTTATTCAAACAGTAGTTCTGAATTTATTTTCACACATTTCCGATATATATATGTGATTTTATCACCGTGGAATATAAATTTAAATTTATTAAAATTAACTAACCCTAGATAGTAAAAATTTCAGTTTGTCTCTTGCTTCATTGAACTGCAAATAAAATATATAAAATTATAAATAAAATAAAAAATTATTTTATGATTTCTACAAGTCAATTAGACAATATGTTATTATCAGAAAATATTAATTTTAGTCAGACGTAATTAATTAAATAAAAAATTTTCTAATGCTACAACTAGTAGTAGAGATCAATGTTAAGTCAAGCAGTTTGAATAAATGTTAAATTTATGTTTTCAGTAGTAAATTACAGTTATAGTCAGACAGAACGATATATATTATTTAAATCAAGAATTAGTATAGTTTAAGTCAATTATAGTCAGACATAATAAATTCAATAAAAATCTATTACTAGAACTAGTAGTGAAAGTCAATGTTATGTCAAACAGTTTTAAATGTTAATTTTTTTGTTTTTTAGTAGTAAATGCCAGTTTCAGTCAGACAGAACAATATATATTCTTCCAATCAAAAACTTGTAGTTTAAGGATATATAACAAGTAAAAGAAGTTAATTATAGTCAGACAAGTGGTACATAAATATTAAAAAGTATGTTGTTAGTAGTAAACGTCCATTATAGTCAGACAACTGATTTTAAAATTTTAAACAATACGTTATTAGATGTAAACATTAATTTTAGTCAAAAATATTGATTTTTATTTTTCGAATGCAGAATTAGTAGTTTAACTCAAAGAGGGCAGGAAAATTCAATAATTTATTATTAAAAGAAAATATAATTTTTTTATTAAATATAATAATTCAAATATAAAACCTTCTACTATTGGAATAAGTAGTGGAAGTCAATGTTACGTCAAACCGTTTTTATTCTTAATTTTTTGTCTATAAGTAGTAAAATCAGTTTTAGTCAGACAGAACGATGTATATTTTTCCAATTAAAAACTAGTAGTATAAGTCAATCATTACTTAGTTTTATTAAGCATAAAGATTCAAAAATAATTTTCGAATTTTAAAATCAGTAGTAGAGGTCAATGGAAAAGAGTAATAGTAGAAGTATTAGTTGTAGTAAATAATTTTATTAACAAATTATATAAAATTAGTGTCAAATTCTAATTTTACTGAGACTAATCATTTTTATTTTTTCCAGTTCGAAATCCAGTAGTGTAAATCAATTTTCGTCAAACAAATCGTTTATAGCTCTTATAGGATTTGTTATAAGTAGTAAATCCGTAAATGTCAGTTTTAGTCGTACACAATATGGTTCTATTAAACTAATATTACAACCAGTAGTATAGCTCAATGTTAGGTCAAACAGTTTTAAATGCTTTAAATGTTATGTTTGATCTATCCTTGACCTCTACTACTGGTAGTTTTTTTCTTTCAATATGGATAAGAAAAACTGACAATTTTTAACAGTTAATAATTTTTTAAGTAGTATATGTAAATAAAATGTCATTGTGAGAATTAAAAATTCTAGTAGTACAATTCTGTTTCGATCAAACAATATTTGTGACTACTTTTCAGACTACTTTTCAGAATTTTACTGTTCTCTTTTAGTAGTTTTACTCGTTTTTTCTAATGTTTGAGTGAAAAATCACAAAGTAGTAAAATTTTTTTCAAAATTGCCAATTTCAGGTCTTTGTTAACAATGTTAAATTCTAAATTATTTAATTCTAATATTAAATTGTTGAATATAGCAAATATTTTAGCCTCTTATTGTTTATTCAACTTTTTTAAAGTTGTAAAAATCCTATTTAGTCATACACAACGTTTAAAAGTGTAGAAATATAACCACTAGTAGTATAATTCTCTTTTTGTCAGACAAAATTCGAAAGCGCTTTTTAATCGAAAATTACTGTTTTTTATCAGTATTTTAATTTGTTATTCTTATCATCTGAGAAGATATTTTTTTTTTATTAAAGTTTTAGTATAAAAAGTATTTAAATTTTATTATTTCTATTGCTTCCTCATAAAGGAAGCTTTGTATTAGCAAAATTTTGGATTGTCATTTTTTGACATATTTATAAATTTTTTTTTATTATGCCTAATACTTTAGTACTTTATATATGCACAGGAACTCCCCGTAAAAATGTTCTAAACAAATAAAAACAAATTTTGACGTATTTTGACCTCCGAAGTCCAAAAAACGGATTTTAAAAATTTGTCCCGATGTGTGTGTGTGTGTGTGTGTGTGTACTAACATTACATTTGCCTCAATATCTCAGAACGAGAAAGAGCTAAAGGCCTCAATTTTTTTTTAAATTGTAGGTCTCCCCGGGGGACATAAAATGAGAGTATTTTCAGCCCGATTCATGAAGTTCAACTATTTTTTTTTTGCATTTTTCATTTTGTAAAAAAACGTTTTTTGGACATAACTTAAAAAAATGTTAGGACACTTATAAATCTTTTTCTTTAGTTTTGTAGAGTTTTTTCACACGCATCTTTTGAGCCCTAATTAAACATTTTTCGTCCATATTAACCGGAGATATTAAACTTTTAAAAATCAAAAATTTTGGAAAATAAGACTTTTTTAAAAATTTTGATAAAAACTGTAGAAGTTTAGTTTTGTTTTGTATTTAGTTTTGTAGAGTTTTTTTAGACGCATCTTTTGAGCCCTAATTGAACATTTTTCGTCCATATTAACCGGAGATATTAAACTTTTAAAAATTAAAATTTTGAAAAATAAGACTTTTATAAAAATTTTTTTAAATGATGTAAAAGTAACTTCAAAAAATTATTACCAACTTGAAGAACATTAAAAAACGTTTCGATTGACCTATTTTTGAACATGATTCGGGCAGAAATTATGAAATTATTGGTATTTGAAAAATCAAAAATTGTGGAAAATATCATTTTTCAACATTCTTGTTTATTAACTTATGTGTAATTATTAAACTATTATTACCATCTTATAGAATATATAAAAACACATTTTTTGGACCAAGATTTAATGATTTTTAACCCTTTTATAAAAAGTAATTCTTATATTTCAATTATTATTATTTCTATGAGGAAGCAAAGTGTTCATGAAATGAACACCAGAATTATAAAAATGTACAACTTGGCAGCGGTTTTTCTAATTTTTATTATTTCTAGTAAATTATTCATTATATTCTGTTTTTTATATATAATTAGGTGTATGATTCCCTACAAGTATATTAACTATAAATATAGTTAATATGTGCCGAATAATTATTATACTATTATTATGCTATTATTATCCAAATACGATTATTCAAATTAAACATATATTCAATTATTGATTTTTTCTCTCAAAGCCCTGGACCAACATTGGTCCAATATAAAAATAACATCCTAAGAGCCACTCGTATTTTATTCACCCCCATCAAAGAGGGGTAAAGGGCTTAGTTTTACCCGTAATAAAAAAAATGTCATTAAATTTTCTTTTTTAAACATATTAAACGAAACAAGGGACGTGTCTCTATCGGGAATATAGAAAATGCAGCGTATAACTTTTATAATTTCACGCATGTTTAGCAGTAATAAAATTTTTAATCAACGTACACCTATATAGCTATTTTAAATTAGTTTTTTAAACGAGATTTTCTTTATAGATATACACACGTTAATATGTGTGAGTGTGTAACTTGAAAATGCATATGAATCATATAAGTGGAAATTATCAGAGGACAACTGACTCTACTCTCAGAGTGGAGAAACCATGTTTAAATTAGATGTAACAGATTAATGTTGTTCTCCTGAGTTCTCAGTATGTACGAGGTTTATGTTTGGTGGCGACATAGAGGGTGTTACAGTTTCCGTGAAATCAGGTATATCTGGTGAATATATATACCAAGAGCATTGTGCACAATGC